GAGATACTCCTAAGTGAAAAAAAATAGAACTGATATGTGTAAATACTGAATAGTTTCTCTGGTGTTTGAGAAACTGAAAGTATAAATAAGTATCAGAAGGTATAATAGAGATTGTGAAGTAGGAAGAAAAGGTCCAAAGGGGAAGGGAAAGTAGGCAGGATTGAGGAAAGGAAAGAAGGGAATGGAATTAATAAGAGAAAATGAAAAAATGGGAACAATGTCTTTATAAATAGGGAGGGGTAGAGGTGCTGAAGGGCAGGCGGGGTAATGGAGAAAAAATAAGAACCAAGATAGATTATGTCAAGGTACAAATTTCCAATGATTACTGTCATCATATTATATACCTATAATATACAAATAAAATCAAAAGAATTTTAAGTGGGAAAACTGAAACATTCAGCAAACTCCTCATGAACAAGGTAGAACATGAATGAAGTAGGCAGGAATAAAGTGAATAAAGGAAAAATGCAAGGCAAGGTGAATATTTCTGAGGGAAAACAACAACAAGAAAGTTCAGAGATGGGATAAATCTGGGCTCATGCAGCTTAGTGACACCAACAGAAGTGATGACAAGCAATTATACAAGAAAAACATGAAAAATATGGATTGCGAAGAAGCGCACATGGCTGAAAGCCTTGAGTTCCTGAGAAGAAGAAGGCAATGAGCTCCTAAAGGATGTGACAGTGAGGGATGATGTTCCAGAAATGTTCACCTGCTCATGGGGAGACCCTGGCATAAAACAATACTTAAAAGTCCTATGGTCAGGAAATTCTTTCTGCTGTTCAGATGCTGTGTAAGGAGAAATCTGACCAAGGTGATAGCAACAATGATGCAAAGAAAGGAGTCAGTATGGGTTGAATGGCCATGGGCAGATTTAATTAGTTTGGAGACTCACTACATGTCAAGGAGCAAGCAGAGACGAGTCAACAATGACTTCCAACTTATAAACCATGATAAGTGAATGAAGAAAGTCTGTCCAATACATAACGTGCTGCTGAACTGAAAGAAAAAGGGAAATTGTGGGCAGTATAAGATATCACTTGTGAGCAATAAATTTGCTCTATTTGAGGTTACTTTTGGGATGATGAACAAGTAGTAAGAGCTTGTAAGGTATTTGGAAATGTGTGTTTAAGCTTAGTGAAAATTTGCATATGGGACTCTAGCCTTGGTACCCAAAGTTTTAGTTGGAAATACTAGCTGAAACCTCAGAAATACAGAAATTCCTAAGAGTATATGCTTGAAAAGGATATCAGTGAAACAGAGACAGTTTGGGATACTGAGAGAGAGAACAACTGAACACCAGGTAAGTCCAGATTTCAAGGTACAATAAAATATTAAGGGAAATCTAATCTCTTCTGGTAAAAACTGGACATCTTTGGTGGGAGAAGGTGAAGTGGAAAGATTATTTTTAGCAAGAAATGTAAACTACGTAATCTTCCTTTGATACTATTTTTTAAAGCTTCTGCTATACTAATGTCTAAAAACTTAGAACCATGTCATACCTGAAAACTGACTTTTGAATACTAAATTCAGCCACAGTCATCTAAATTTCATTTCCAAACCTGATAAATTGTAAAGGAAGGCATTAAAGGGCTTATTCCTCCCAAGCTTTCTTGACAGGAGCAAAAGAGATATTTTTTAAATGATTTCTACTTTTCTATCAAAGGACAATATAATCTGATTAACTTTCATATCCATCAGAAGCACAAGGCTTTCTGGACATAGGTGGAGGTTTATGAGTACAGAATTGAGAACAATTAGCACTCAAATTAATGTTACATGAGATTCAACATCTGGTAAGGATGTTGTCATTTTGGGTCGTAGACCACCTGCTAGGCTAGGTGTTCATACAACTGCAATTTGTTCTGCATACAAATGGAAGAAAAATGATATTTCAAATTTTTTTCTTCTAACTCTAATAGTATGTATTTTAGAGACTTCTCATGTTTTAACATTTCATCTGAGAATTTAATAATGGGCCAAATACTCATAGGATAAAATGTATAGAATCAAAAGAAAGAAAATATTCATATTTTAAAGCATTTCTATATTGAATTAGCTGTCATGCTAAATATTAACTTTCTAATCCATTCCTCACTGTTAGTATTACTATTGGTCTCCTTTTTCTTCACCAGATATTCAGGCCTGAGAAGAGGACAATCTGTTAAAAGTCTACATATTATCTGTATAATAGTCCTCGAGCATCTAGCTTGATGGTAGCAGTTCTACACCAGGAAACACTAAATCTCAAAGCCGACTCAGTTGCCTTTTCACACAATCCAATTTTTGGCCAGTGAGGGAAACTCGTAAACTCTTCCCTTAGTAATACTTGAGCAAAATTCTATTAGCTCAAAAACACATGATAGGTCTGTGACAATCTTCTATAGATTTTAAAAGTAAAGAAACACTTCATATTTTTTATCTAAACACAGAAATCACATTTCTACATTGTTTATGGAAAGTGAATCATCTTTTTAAAAGATATTTTGTAAAGTAAATATCAACTAAAGAAACATCTAATGCTGCAATCTGCACCTTAAAGTGCCTAAAAATTACTCTGTTCTTTCTGAGTACTCTCAAGCCTTTGTTGTACTCTCCTGTATAAGAAGTATTTATCTTTTATTTATTGGTGTTTTCATGTTTCTATAATATGTATTCATTGGTTGTTATAGCTATGATCCTAAGTTGTTATGGGGCTTGTTGGAGCTGTCTTTGTCGTTTGGCATCCAGCTGTCTGACTTTCAGTTTTGGTGTCTCCATTAGCTCACTGTGTAATCTTAAATGTCTGTGCCCTGTTAAAGCTCCAGTTTCATCATCTGTAAGGTGAGAATAATGACATCCCCTGCTCTCCATGGTTGTTAAGTAAAACTGATAATCATAAAGGATATGGCACAGAAGTGCAAAAAAAAAATCAGTTCTCATTTACATTAAGTCAGGGTAATCTAATTCTAAGTAACTGAAGAAAGACCCAAGCATGCTTGGTATGTTTTTATTCTGTGTTTGGGTTTAAACAGTACTTGGTGATAATTTAATTCTTTAACTAGTTCCCATAGATTTTCACTCTCTATTTAACAGACAAATACTATTTGCTCAGCCAAACTCTTATCAGATAGTTACTGCAGAGTTTTCTAAACTGCTTTGAAAAATTGGAGTTGTGTGGCAAGGCTTCAGGTGAGGTTGCAGGGATGAGAAAAGGGTGGTCGATGTCCCAGGCTCCGAATAGAACAGCTCTGTTTTATATCAGCTTTAAACATGACATCTCTCAGCAAAAATTTTAGTTTGTACAACAGGTTTTTCAGCTAAAAAATCAGAAGCGAGGCAGAGGCTGGCTGAAACACCCATGGCTTACTATGTCTATTATTTTTTTAAATAAATATTTCAGATAAAGAATGAAGGCTGTATCTTTCTGAATGGTTACCATGAGTTTTGATTCTATATTAAAAATTGACCTTTAGCCAAATCATAATTCAAAGACGTTTGGGATTTCACCTTTTCCCTCTCTGACATTATTAATTAAGCAGGTAGGGCTTATTAAATCTCCCTGTTCATCCTCCTTAATTTAAGAAGTCTTTTATAATAAAACAAAGCTTTGTTGCTCAAAATGGAATGAATTAGGCAAACCTGACCTTCAGGATCCCATGCTTGACATTTTTCCCTACCCCGAAAGTAATGCAGAGATGAATAATCTCAAAGCAAAGTACAGCAGGTGGACCCATCTCTGCAGTCAGGTAGGTTGCCTGAGTGTGAGTTCAGTTTTTCCCACTTTCAAGCTTGGTTCTTGAGCAGATTACTTCCTGTCTATGTCCCTTAAATTCTTTCTCATAGAATGGGGGCAATAGCCCCATTCATAAAGAAAGTACTCACAAAACTCCTAGAAGACTAACAGGTAGAAAATATGTTTTTTGTAAATATCAACTCTTTTCATCATTAGGAGTGAATTTGATTCAGATATGTTTTGATAATAGCTGAATTATTCCCAAGCTTAATTACAATAGTCAGTGCATTTATCATTTGAAATTTCTTTCTGTGGCTATGGGAAGGATAGTAACTAAATTAATTCACCTTGGGAAGAAAACGGCTAAAGGTGTAGGGGAAGTGAGTAGTGTAGGGGAAAGGTAATAAGGGAAAAAATATAAGAAAATGAAAAAATGGAAATAAAGTATTTGTAAATAGGGAAGGGAGGAGGGGGTGAAGGAAGGGCAGGGACAAGGGGAAAAAATGAGAACCAAGACTTGTCATGTAAAGGTACAAGATCCCAATGATGAAATTAACTGTACTGTATACCTAAAATGTACCAATAAACTCAGAGAGAAAAAAATTAATTCACCTTGTATTTTAATTCTCACATGGTAATTTCTCTTCCTTTTTGTTTCCTTACATTTTAAACAATGGACAGAAAAATCAAATCATTTCTAACAGAGTTACAGAGAAAAATATTATATGGGGAAATAAAGTATTTGTAAATAGGGAAGGGAGGAGGGGGTGAAGGAAGGGCAGGGACAAGGGGAAAAAATGAGAACCAAGACTTGTCATGTAAAGGTACAAGATCCCAATGATGAAATTAACTGTACTGTATACCTAAAATGTACCAATAAACTCAGAGAGAAAAAAATTAATTCACCTTGTATTTTAATTCTCACATGGTAATTTCTCTTCCTTTTTGTTTCCTTACATTTTAAACAATGGACAGAAAAATCAAATCATTTCTAACAGAGTTACAGAGAAAAATATTAAAGCTATAAACTGGTCCTAAATGTCCATTATTTTGAGAATAAGGAAAATATGACCACATAATCTAGTCATATTTTATTACTATGCTTTGTGTATTCATAAATTACTAAGAGTAATGAAGTACTTTTTGATACACATAATTTCACTTTGTGCCTTTAACGTTTGTTGTTAACAATTTTTCCAAGTACTATCGCTGAATTCTAGGAAAGGGACCCAGAATATAATAAAACTGCACTGAAGTCTCTTAGCTCTTTTTCTGTCTATTTCAGATCTTTGTGGACTCCACGTGTTGCCTCAGACAGCTGACTGGTTATCTTTTCCTCCCCAACAATATCTTTTGACTCTTGGCTTCAAAAACAAAGAAGATGGAAATTTTTTAGAAAAAATATCAAGTAGGAAGCTACCAACATTTACAGGTAAGTCATGTGAATTTGTTATTAACTTTCAATATGTTAGGAACTGTACATTACTCATCAGATCTTATCATCACAGGACTCCATGTGTAGTAGGGCCTAGGCCCTCACAAATGTTTGGTTATAATTAACACCTTCTTATCGTTGTGCATTTGTCAACAATACCTAGATTTCTGATTCCAGGAAATATTTTCCTCCAGAGCACACACAGTAATGGAGAACCCACTTCCCTGACTCCAGTCATCTCATTCCAAATACTTTCATCACCAATGCTTAAGCAGAGTAAGAGCTGCTTTCATTATTGGTTAACAAATGTGAAACACATTGTGCAACAAAATTGAGCCGTGCAACAAGATGTACAACTGAGAACAATTTTAAATCACTTGGATCCTCTGATGTTGTATTAATATATTTTCTCCTCTTTTCTTATGTAACTAGATATCCTGAGATTAGACCTCTTGAGGAGTATTATGTTTCAATGGTATTCAGAAATTCTAGTTGAAATTTTGAAAAAAATCAAGAAAATACTTTTCCTGGAGTTGAAGTCTGAAATTTATGGATTAATGCATGACCAGGCTGAATTCACTCCACCAGCTCTAACCACATACTCAAGAATTGGTGCTTTTCCTGGTGCTGTATCATCAGGCTTATCTCAGTTTCAAGCTACATTCAAAGACACTTGAATAGTACCTGAGAGGAACAAGACAAGAATCAGACACGTTTATGACAACCTTTTTTTCACAACTCAGGCAAAACATACGCTGCAGAGATAGGTGAATTATTACAGGAGGTCCCTTCAATCTCTCAATCAAGAAACACAATAAAATGAGGAAATGACAGTTTCTAAAGGGTGACGTCTCCTGTGCCTTTCCCATAGATCTGTCATTGTTATACAGATGGTATAGGAATGGGACTAGTTTCTATACCAAAGATTTTATATCTATTAATATTGAGATGTCCTTTTATAGCTTGCTAAAGAAAAAACATTTTTGAAATAGAAGTCTGGAAAAATAGTATAAAAGTTTATTGTTACAATTTCTAGATCATAAAACTCCCTTCAGTCGGCTGACCAGAGAAGACAACGTGAGACACATGGAGACAATGGGGAAGCGAATCTTGCCGATACTGGATTTTATTAAAGGCACCCGATTGAATGTAGGTACATGAGATTTTTATATTTGTCCAATGTACAAATACTACAGAATTCTAAAAATTTGGGAAGTTTATGGAGCAGATATTATAAGTGTTGGATGATTTTAGAAACATTCACAGAAACATTGTTTGCAAAACCAAACAGATTTAGCTAATTCTTTTATTCCTCTTATATCCTAAAACATCATAATGCTACACCACAACTTCTAGTATTTATTAGACTAGTGTCTCTTTAGAGTTTTTTTTCATGTCTTCCTGATAATCCATTCAAAGTTGCCATGAACTTCTCATTTCAAATCAATAATAAAATTTTAGCAAGCACAGTGTTTCCCTATTTTGTTTACTGAGCATATAACCATCTCATTGCCTACACAAGCATTCAAAACTGTTCAAGCTAGTGCCTGCGCACTGATGAATTGGCTGCTACAATAAACAATGGCAATTGATCTTTGTACAGCCTTAAGGTAAAGTATCTAATCCCTGTCTATGATCCACAGAAAATATGTTTTTTCTACCTTTTGGTGTTAAAATCCCAAAATATGACTTGAATAATGTGATGCTCTTCTACAAAATTTAAGCCATTGTACTGAAAACACACAAAGAGAAATGCTCATAAATTGGATATAAATGCTGCAGGTTTCTCCTCTTTAAGTAATTTTCAAAATGCCTGCATATTAGAAATTTTAAAGAATTTTATTTTTGTGGCTTTTGTATTATATCACTGATTTGATGTTCTTACCTTACAAGGAGAACCAAGGGGGTCATCGCAAGCACCTACTTAACATCTGTTCAGCAGTTTATCTGCTCGATAACATTATTCAGCATTTTAGAAAAGCTATAAAATGCCTAATATATTTGCATAATTTGTAGTTCTATGCATTACAAATACAAAAGCATATTTTATTGCATTTGCCTACCACACAGGCGCGCGCGCACGCGCACACACACACACACACACACACACGCACACACGTTCCACTCCATTATCCTTCCCTATATTTCTGTTAATTAGGAATTCACCTTCATCTTAGCTGGCTCAAGCTGCCATGGCAAAGTGGCACAGATTGGCTGTTTAAACAATAGAAATTTATTTTTCCACAGTCCTGGAGACTAGAAGCCTAAAATCAAGGAGCCAGCATGACGGGGTTCAGAGGAGGGCTCATTCGGTGTTTTTCAGAAAGCTGCCTTCTCGTTGTGTCTGCACACGACAGAAAGACAGAGCAAGTTATGTGGTGTCTATTCTTAAAAGGAAATTAATCCTTTCATAGGGCCCGTCCATACCTTCATCAAATCCTAACTTCCTCCCAGAAACTTTATCTCTAAATACCATTACACTGAGGATTAGGGCTGGACATATAATGGTGGGGGCACAAACATTCCATCTAAATCAATTTTATTAGCTATACTATAAATGTTGGGTCCTGTTCTGCAGCTAACCCTTTAGCACAACCTCTTCCCACCACAGGCACACGTACTTGTCCTCACCAACCTGCCCACCCTAGTTAGAAATTCACACATTATCACTGTCTTCGTCAGGTCCTTGCAAGCAGTGTAAGCTTTACTATCAAGAAACATCACCATGAGCGTTATTTGATCTCATCACTGTTCGGCTGTCCTACAGAGCATGGTTGTTCAGTGTTGTGGAAGTGATCTATTTGTGCCTTGTCTCTCTGAAGCAATGCTGGCCTTACCCCAGTTACTTGTTCAGAAACTGACTACATCATTTGCTGGCTCATATCTATCAGTGTAAAAGCAGATTCAGCCAATCCAAGCATGAAGTATTTTCTGTATGTAGGTCATCATTTCCTTCTTCGCCTTTCAAAGGGCATTCTGACCACAGGGAAATCTGTATATGTCTGTATCTCTGTGTGTCTATAAATAAGATTTAAAAACCGTGGTTAGGGCCGGGGATTTAGCTCAGTGATTCCGCCGCCTGCCTTGCCAGCGCAAGGACCCGAGTTCAATCCCCAGTACCAAAAAAAAAAAAAAAAAAAAAAAAAATGGTTAAACAGACTCAGTTTCTAATTAACAACTCGGTATTCCTTAGAATCAGTCTCCATACCACTCTGCTAATTGCAAGGAATTTCATCAACTTTCTTATATTCTCTTTTATGAGAAGTAACAGTTTTGGGGAGATTGTGTCAGAGAGTTTTAATGGAATTGACACGAGTGAATCTTAAGGTTCCCAGGGACGATACGTGTATCCAAATATTGGCATGTTGGTTTCCTATTTTCCCAGGCACAGATTCATAAGGCAAGATTGAATAAAACTGGATGCCAAAGTAACCTAACTTAATGAAGCAAGTAATGTGTTGACAACTAGAAATTATTCCTACATGGTACCATTAAATACAACCCAAGAGCTACTCAAAAGTAGTTTTAAGTTCCTCCTAGTTGTAGGGATTTTTTCTGGTCAGATATTAAGATATCTGCTTAAATATATAGGCATTGCATTGTCTTTATTGTTGCCCTGGTTTGTGACCCGTGTAAATGAAGCCTTTTGCTCAGGGCTATGCCCTGGGTAAGTAACCATATGGTGAGTTACTCGGTTGTTGAACAATTTTTTTCTCATATATAGAATAGCCGGGTATCTGCCAGGTAAACCCCATAGAGTTGTGAGGCCAAAAGTATATAACTCATGTTGAAACATTTTAAAAGTGGATTAGAAGCTTCAGTTACTTGTATTGGTTTTAGTTTGTTCTGACCAGAAGAATGTTTCCCTGATCTTTCATTCTTTTTTTCTTTTCTTTATACATGCTACATACTTTGAAATTATACATTCTTCTTCTAATATGAAGACAGTGCTGGTGTCCCATGGATTTCAAACAGTTTCCCTTAGTTTATATTCCTTAGATCACCGATTTCCTTAGATTCCCCTCACACAGGCAGGCTGAGAGGTGTCCTCTGCAGCCACAGAACAGATCGACTGGGCACAGCAGGACTGGAGGATGGACTGCAGCCTTCCTGACAGCAGGCTTTGAGCTCCTCAGTTTCATCCATCTTCCTAAACACTTCCACCAGAAAACAATGATCAACTCCTTTGGCAAAATATTCATTCTGAAGAATTTCAGATATTTCAATTACCTTTTATATTGGTGACTGAGGCATGATTTTCCTTGTTCCCTAAGGGGAAAAAAAATCATGCATCTGGAACGTCAACACTTTCATCCAGTCCTAATAGCTAAGAAATATATTTTGTGTCATATATATTCAGATATTCTTTAATTCATTTTGACAATGGAAATTGCTTTGGAATATGAAAATACAATACATTAAAACTTTAGCATTCATAAACTACAGGAGACCCAAAGATAATGCTAGTCCTTGGCATAATACTCTGACCAGAATTACTTATATAAAGTATTACCACATTTACATTGTCACACAAATGATGTTAAATACATACATGTCTTTAGACACACTGTGCTTGCTTCGGCAGCACATATACTAAATAATACTTAGGCAATATCAAGAACTCTTATGATCTATTTTCTAAACATAATGAATATTTAATCACTTTATAAATATTTAGTTTTTAATCTACCTAGATAAAAAATCTACCTAGCATCTTTAATTAGGAAAATAGTTACGCTTTTAAAACAATAAATTTTAATGACATAAGGAATTTTTCTTTGGTTGCACTAATTTTCTATTTCCCTCCAATGAAATAAAGGATTTTGTTATCTTCAGAATGCATATAAAACTATAGAATAGCAATTTTCCTTCAACATAAGCATATTAAAGCAAAATTCTTTTTCCAAAGCTAACAAATTACTCTTCTTTCCAAGTCCCTGAAACATTCCCTAACCAAGAAATTTTCTTGGGATTTTATTATTAGTCAAGAGGAAGGGAGTAAGATTGGGAGGAGGGGAGATAAGACTGAGTCATGGAGGCTGGATATGATCAAAATATGTTATATGCATGAATGAAAACACATCAAAACCCAATATTTTGATATTAAAAGAACTGCTTTTGACCCATATATATTAGAAAAATACACAGGCAAAGTACTGTGGAACACACCTGTAATTCCAGGTATTTGGGGAGCTGAAGCAGAAGAATAACAAATTTGAGGCCAATCTGGACAATTTAGCAAGATTCTGTTTCAAAATAAAAAGGGATAGAAATGTAGCTCAGTGCTAGAGCACTTACCTAGCATGCGTGAGGCCCGGAGTTAGGTCCTGAGCACCCACCCACACAGGCACACACACACACACACACACACACACACACACTCTAGTACTGGTTATTAGACACATGAAAGCACGCTGATTGCATGCAAAAGGCTCCACTACGGAACTAGGGTTAGCAGAAAAATGTGTATAAATTATTGCATAAAAGCACTGCCCTCACACTGTTTCATTTGACCCTCACAATTTGATGACTTTGTGTCACCTTCCTCTTACCAATGAGAAAACTATAACATAGTCAAGTTCATTTATCTAAGGGGTCAGAAGATAGTAGTTCAGAATATTGTTCCAGGATTCTTTCATTAAGACATATTACTTCTCTGAATAAAAGTTTGATCCTTGCTGGAGGCAAAGCACACATAAAACAACATGAAAATTATTCTATAGCTATATTCAATTTTTAAAATGAACATTTAAGTATACAAACAAATTAGACTCAGATAATTAATTGTGAAAAGCTTCCTGGGGAGCATGAATGTTCACTCGTTACCAGGAGATGGTAGACACAGTTGGTGACGAAGACAAAGGACTTCCATGGTTGGAGGGAGGTTTCTCTTCCAATGATTTCCGTTATACTTCACAAGTTTCCTTGTCTTTATAGATTTTACTGCGGGATGCACAACGCATGACCAAACACAAAAGATCCTGACATTTTAAGAATTATAATCTAGGAATATTTCATCATTTTCCTCGTGGCTTCAAATCTTAATGAACATCAACCCATATCCCTCCTCTAATGGCATTTTTTTCCATCTCGGGATTTTTGTAGTAATTATTTCCCATGCTAATGGATGGCCCTGTGCTTTTTCATTCATTAACTTTTTTGGCTTCCGTCAGTTTCAAACCTATGTACTGTGCTTTCTGAACTAAATGTTAAAGAGTTAAAATAAAATCTCTTGCCATGTATAAAGCTTCCCTCACAAAATGACTTGCCAAAAATGACCTAACTAACCATTTTTTAATACCTCATTAATTTTACTTTTAATTTCTTCCAAGTGAAGCATAAAAAATGTTTACATATGCACACTTGAAATGAACAATAATGTGTTTTCTACCCCTCCTTTGCAATTAATGTTTCTGTTTGTATATGTTATGCCAAATGGAAATACAACCCAAATACTTGAACTCTGCATTTCAGCAGTATTATACAATGTGACTTATTTCCCAAACATTTATCCATAAGTGCTATTAAATCTAGGGAATTATCTGACTGAAGCCTTCATTTGAACTTGCTATTTACCTAACCTTCATTGTACCTGTGTGAGGTTTCAGCTGCAATCTTGGCCACTTTATTATTCTCTCCCAGCAGCTAAGAGCCATTTGATGGTTTCTAATATCTCTCTGGGAAGGTTATCTCTCTTCAGAAACTAGCACTAGATATTTAAACTAATTCCTTCATTTTGCATTTTTTCTTTTATTTTCTTAAAACAGTAGCATTAAAACATTCCTGTTACATTTAATATTAATGTTTAGCTTTTTTACTTTGTCTTTCAAAAGCCCCTATCTGGTATATGTAAATGTTAATCTCTAGCTTCCCGATGACCCAAAGTGCATTTGGCTGGGGGTAAAGGGAGGATGGGTGGCTATTAGCAGGCAACTGTATTCTTTCCCTAGTATCTTATTCATAGGGAGCACTTCCTGTTTTGTTATGCATCCAACAATCAAGCCAACAAAGCACTGTTTCCTTCCACTATTTTTATTTTCCTGATGTTTTGGAAAATTACCCTAATAGATTATGTTCCCAAGCAGGCTGCAGTTGTTTCTGCTCTTTGGAGTTGAGTCACTACACCACTTTCCTACAACTAGCCCCATTGTTTCTTTTTAGAGAAGGACAAAGAAAGCAATTTTTCTTCAAAAAGAAAACCATTTCTCCTCCAACTTGCTTTCCTCTACTTGACAGAATGCCATTGTTTAGATACATGTTTAAACTGAATGGTAGGCAAGCTATTTCATCAATTCAGGCAACAGATCTCAAATCCACCATTTGCAATCATAGCTCCTATAGGTTTATAGATTTTTCATATAAATGATTCATCAAAAAGAACAAATTAGTGAGAATGGAAGACATTACATGAATGGCACAGATAGGTATTAGAGAGAAATAAAGCAAATAAAATGCTATGGTGTTTAACCTTCATTTATTTCCAAGATTCTAGAAAATGCCAGTTTCTAGAGGTTACTATCACTCAAAACATGAGCATGACATTTCAGAAAGAACTGCTTTCTAATTTCAAGTTGAAGTTCAGATAGTCTTTAGTAATGCTAGTTTCTAACAATTTTCTCTTTAGAGAAAATTCTCTTTTAAGAAAGAAAAAAACATGTCTGTTTCCTCTGATTTCTAGAAGAAATTATGTGTCATACACATTCACAAGTAGTTCTTATAAACATCACAAATAAAATAGTACTTATCAGATTCTTTATCAGAGCTGTAAGGTAATGATTCATTCTCAAACTGCGTTTTGAGATATTCAAGTATTTAGGTAATTCATATTTCTGGGGTCCAGTATCAAGATACTGAGACTCACTGAATGAAGCCCAAGACTCTATTAACTGCTGAGTTAACAAATGAGCCTCAAGACTTTGGTGCAGGTGGTCCAGTAAGAGCCCTGCCATAAAGTGGTGTTGGTCACCCAGTCTTCCTCTTCAGAGCACCAGAAGGCAGAATGCAACTGTGAAATTAAATCCTCCTGCAACTTCCCATTTCTCAGTACTGTCCAAACACCAGAACAGCAGACCACCAGACACCCTAGGTCTCAATTATAACCTTTACGCAACCCCTTATGTCAAACTATATAGCTTGTCCAAAAGACAAGCAAGACAATGTCATGATAAACTTTGTCTCTCCTATTAAGTATTACAACTGTATTAAATGCTTTAAAGAAAGTAATGTCCCTTCATTGTAGATGGCAGTACCAAATATGCAGGAAGGTCACCTTATTCTAAGTTGCCTCATCATAAGAAAAGATGAAATACTAATCCCTGGGGAGAGGAGGGCCTTACAAATGTGTGGAAGAATCTATTTCAAGATGGATCTTGTCAGTTGTTGAAATGACCCTAGAAATCAAAGTGAGTTGCTACAAGACTAGGAACCAGGATACAGGGCCATCCAATGAGAACTGAAGATGAAAGGAGAGCTGGGGCTTTAATGTAAGCCACTGACATAAACAGAATTCAATTCATAAAAAACCTTCTTTTATATACACCAAATAGTAGGCAACTCTTAGGTTGTATGATGGTTTGGTGATTAAAGTCACCTCCTCTGCAGACACAGCCCAATGAGATCATAACGAAGAGAGCGCAGATATAATTTCAGTCCTGTCTTTTCCCCTCACCCTAACTTCCCATTGCAGGACAACCAGCAAACCCATCTCAATGGTCCTGAAAAGAGCTTCCTTGGATGCATAATCGCCTACTGGAAAAAATGTACAGACAATTTTTCTTAAAATGATCAAAAGGAAACAGTCATTTGTGTTAGGACACTACTGCTCCGAAAGATGCAAATGTAGTACACCAAGTCTTCATTCCCTGGGGAGGGGGTCTCGCTCCATGGCTTTGCTCTGAAACATTTCTTTTCCTTTCCAGGGTGGTCTCTGTGCGTGCTCAGGTGTGATGGAGAAGTTGCAGTACGCCAGCCTCCTCAGCCAGCTGCAGAGAGTAAAGGAGCAGTCCCAAGTAATTAATCAAGCAATGGCAGAACTAGCAACCATTCCCTATCTACAGGACATCAGTCAACAGGAGGCGGAATTGGTAACTATTTGTTTTTCTTTGTTTAAGGCTTTTACAGGCCCTGAGCCAACAGAAGAGTGATATGTTCTAAAAAAAAAAAAGAAATGTGATAATAAATGGAGTCTGAAGGCAAACTCCCTACCCTTCATGAAGCATTTTAATGCAGAAATTGGAAAATGCAGGGGTATCTGATTTTTATTTGCTCACATTGACTACTTTCCATCTCTTGCAGCAAGAAACTTTGTGATGTATAAAAACAAAAAAGGGCTGATTATTCATATTGTGTGTCAGGCTTTTTGCTTTAAGTAAAATGAAATTTTAATAAACTGCTTCTAAAACTCTAAGATATGTTAATATATAATTCTCTTCTTGGAAAAAGGAGAGGAAAAGGAAATTATGTGAAAAAATACAACCCTACAAGATGGTCCTCAGAGTTTTCTTAATCAATTCCAGTATTACTTTATATTTTGGCAGTGTCAATTCACACTAGTACCTTTGGATAGATCAATAAAGCTTTATTTACTTGGAAAAAAATGTAGTTAATCTAAATAGCTGCTTTTTAAACTGAACTTACTGGTTAGCTCAGAAAACCAGACATGTTGGCCTCCTGCAGAGCCAGTCAAAAACTAGCTAGTTGAAGGAATAGCTCACAGAAAGACTTTTCAAATAGATTGTGTATGAAAATCATAATTAATATTAGAAATTATAACACTTCATTTGAAAATTAATTACTAAACTGTATGCTGCCCCTACAGAGAAAGGTAAAATTTACTCTATTTGGAGATCCTAATGTGCTGCAGGGAAGGGCTCTTTACTTTGAAGCTTTAATTGAGAGTAGCTAAAACTAATTATAGACCTGAATTGAATTCACCTAGCAAGGATGAGAACAGCCCAAACTGATTACCTGTAATTTTCAGATAACTAAAAGAACCCTCCCTGTTTGAGCTTTTAAAAATGTAACCAAGAAATGAACTGCCAGCATTTATAATGTTCATCTGAACCTGTTAAAAGTGTGTTAAATAAATACTGATATCACAGTAAGCACATGAAATGGTCTGCTTAACCAAAGAATAAAACCACGCATACTAAAAATGAAAACTATGAAATAAGTCTATTCATGAAAGAATTACTAAGTCAAACTGGCAATGATACTTTCTAAACCTTTACGGTTGTGTGCAGAACACCGTCTAAAAGGCGAAGTGTTTATCTTGCCATTCATAAGGCATTCAGAAGTGCCGTAAGTATGAGCTTTCAAATTGCATATTATAGCCAATTTTCGATGATTAATGCTCCTCTGAGATAAACGGAGGCAAAGAAAATGTTAATTTAGGGAAGCCAGCGAAACGTTGATCCTCTTTTCCTGAAAAGTACATTCAGGATTTAAATGAAAAAATGCAGGGCAGTTTGCCATACATAAGCCTGCTTAACTACATATCTGTGGGTTTTTTTCCCACAGAAATATTCATTTTTCAAAATATACATAAAGAGCATCAAACTAACACTACTGGTGTCCCTTTCTAATGGACAATTTTTCAGTATTTGAAGCCCTACAAAATGGGATTTTATGGAATATCTTCATAATTCATATGCTCACCAGAAAAAAAAATGGATATATATGAGTGTGTATCTGCAAGCCAAATATTTTAAAAGCATATATACATCTTCAAGGTTTTATCACCTTAAGTAATAGATTTTACTTTCCAGCTTGCGAGTATGGGTTAACCTAAAAAATAAATCCTAGTAGTACCTTGCACAACACTGGATGAACACTGACTGATCAACAGAGGATATTTGAGTGACTCAACTCTGCCGTCCTACCTAAGCTCTGCATTAGCTAAAGCACAGAGATTATCTAAGGATTCAAGCTGTTTGATGAGGCAGTGAGCTAACTGGAGATGCGCTCCTTTCAGGGGAGGGCTTTTTATGAAAGTTTGAGCATCACGAGGTTTGATGCAGCTTCGTTATTTTGCAGCCATATGTGCGTTGTATACATATATAAGATTGTTTTCAACTGGAATACGCCAGGCGCCTGTTTTGGACAGAGTGAGGAACGTTGTAAATTTGTCTTTGGGACCTAAAAATAAAAAATGAATTTTTAAAAACAGGTATTTCAAATTTTTAACGCAGAAAAGAACATAAATGAGCTAGATTCTTAAAGAGGCAATAAAACAGCACAATGTCAGTATCATTCTCTGGTGAGCTTTTGCCTGATGCCTAGAATTATGATACATTAGCCTCAGGAGAAAATACTAAAATGCGTTCATGTACTACATGGCATTTCCTGAGAGAATTAACTACCGCCTTCATTCTACACAACCCAAATCTGTTTTTAACAAAACATCAACACTTACTACATTAAAACCTATACGTTTTCTACAAATTTTCAAGAAGAACCTTTTCATTGTTTCAATATTTTATATCTGCAATAATACTCCGTAATGACTCAGGCGAAGATGAGGTGGCAGTGTTCATTGTGAGAAGGATGAGTAATAAAATCATCCGCGTACAAATGATTTTTTAATTAGGTTTTAATCTGTGTATTTAAAGAAGTTATTTCTGTGTGAATTCCACACTGATAATTTTTATCTTGGTGCCACAGCTGCAGTTACTAATGGCAGATGCTATGGACACCCTTGAAGGAAGAAGAAGCAATAAAGAACGTGTGTGGAATACAATCCAAAAGGTAAAACTCTGAGCTGAAAGAAAGGTTATATTATTAAAGAAAATGTCCATCTTGCGTCAATTCTGTTTAGAAGATAAAAAGAAACGAAATTCCTCTGGGTCGTTTTCCGTTTGTTTTCTTTTTTTAAGTAAATGCAGCTCTCTCCAAGGAAGTATAACCAAAATCAAAGCTGAATTTACTGAATCTGTCCCCTCAGGTCTGTTCCTTCCCAGCAGACTGTTGTTATATGCTTTCATGATTCTTCTTCATGATCGCTCTCATTTCATATTCTTTTGAAATTGTTTGCTTCTTCATCATTGGTGATGACAATTTCTGAAGGTTTTTCACCAGTGTGTTAGCTATCTCCCAAATCTTTTCCCCCTTCTTGTCGTCTGTCATTGGTTGTCGTTTAATGTCAACATTACCGTGAGCCACAGCGAAACTAGTGCATTGATGACTTTGGTGCAAGAGTATCGTGCTGCTGATTAGGAGCAGAGGGATTTCCCTTTGCTGGTCACTGGGGTTTAAATGCAACAAGCACTAAGATGAGCCAGGCACCAGGAACTTAGGAGACTTATGCGACCCTTCAGGGCCTTCTGAAAGTGGAAAAGTGGAAAATGCTGGGTCTCCTTCCCAGCTCAAGCTAGTATCTCCTCCCCAGTCTGTCTTCTCCTTTCACTGTAAAATCCCTCAAAGGGAGACTGTATCCAGAGATGCAAATCAAGTGAGGAAGCCTAAGGTTTAAGAAGTGCCATCCGGCCCTGAAAGATCCTGCTGTCTCTGAGGAAGCATGCGTCTTCTGAAATCAACTCATATGTCCTGATAGATGCACATAAAAAATAAAAAGAATTCAGCAAGTATTTGTTGAATAACGACTGCGCTGGAAGGCTATGAGGTGTTAGAGCTGTTGTGGTGGATCAGACATGGTGATCTGGACTGCTACTTCGAAGTTTATTGGGAGCCGGGGATTTAGCTCACTGGTTCCACTGCCTGGCTTGCAAGCTCAAGGTCCAGAGTTCAATCCCTGGTACCAAAAAACACCCCTACACACACACAAAGTAAGTTTATTGGATACTACAGAAGAAAGGAATTATTTGGTGAACTGTGGAAGTACATAGCAGTATAGCCTACACTGGGAGATCAGGGAAGCCATCTCTGAGGTAGTTATACAACATCTGAAGAATGAATAGTAAGTATCCAGCTAAAAGTGGAGGTTCCCAAACTTTACACCAAGAGTACAAAGGAAGTATAGCACACTGAAGAAAAATGATAAACAAGTGAAGAGAATATTCCAAAATGAAATACAGAAGCAGAGAAATCAAATCAAAGATTTATCTATAAAGTGAATTGAGGATTCGGAATGTTTCAGAGCATGTGTATCTGGAAAATTGTTTTGAGATACCTTTATAACTGTAGTGAAATGGGTTTAAAAGGCTATGTATGGAACTGTAGGGGGGTCAGTCATTAAGAGATGAAGGTCACCCAGGGGAGACATGATGTTGGCATGGTCTAGGGGGACTTAAAAAAGGACAGAGGCAGAAAGAAACAAGAAATGTTTAGGAAGCCAAAGCTGTAGGCCTTGTAACTGATGAGATATGGGAGTTGGGAATACAGACACAGTACAAAATGAGGCCTGGATACTCGCTTGAGTAACCAAGCGTGGGACAGGGGCAGGTTTGCTGGTGCCATTTATTAAGGTAGGAAACTGACACAGGTGCAGCTTTTGGCTGAGAATATAAACTCCTCTGGAGTCCAGTCAGGAGCAGAAAGCATAACCAGATATTTGAATGGGAATTTTATGTAAAGAATGGTTGCTAACTATGACATAATTAATTATGTAACTAAAAAAGCAAAAAAGAACAGTAAGTTATTACTGAGGAAGCAACTAAACAAAGCAACTACCACCTCTTAGGGCTGGGGAGTACAGAGAAGAGTTTGGAATGACTAAAATGTACAAACTTGAAGCAAGGACTCTGCTACACCAAGACTCAGACCTTGGGGCCGGGCATTTAGCTCAGCGGTTCAGTGGCCTGCCTTGCAAGCGCAAGGACCCAAGTTCAATCCCCAGTACCAAAAAAAAAAAGATCATTAACAAGACTCAGACCTCTACTAGAAGGCGCTGTTAGCTGTCCCTGGTGTCTCTAAGCTCAAACAAAAGGTTCTGAAGGGCTGGGACCCAGACCTCTGAAGAGGGATTAGTAACCCACTATTGCTATATGGAGTTATGGGGTGATGAGTGATAATCGAGGTAACTCTACTACTTTGGGGAAAAAACAGATTCAGATGCTACTATAGAAAGCAATGTTTGTTTTTTGATTGAAGAAGGTTTGCTAAAGAGATGCTTACAGGAAACACCAAGCATGTAATAGTAAACAGGAAGCAGAGAAAAAGGGGTCAAGTCCTTGTCTTCTCCTCTAGTAGCCTCTGTGCGCAGAGACTAACAGTTGGCAAAGCAGAAATGGGGTTTGCAGGATGGCAGACCAACATCAGTAAAGCTACCTACAGAAGGATAAGTTTGGAGTTGAGAGACTACATGTTAATAATTGGCACAAAAGTGTATTGAACTTGGGGTGCTGGCAGGATGCCCAAGATAAAATACAGGAGCCTGAAATTCTAGATAAAAGGCTGAATGAGGACAAGGGTTAAATGAAGACAGAGATTTCTAGCCATTGACCAATTGGTGTTAAATGAAGTCATTTGAGTGGGTGACAGTGCTGGTCACTGAGAAAGAGTGTATAAATACAAAGGAAATCCTTGAACAGTGCATTTCAAATATGAGAGAAGAAAAATACAAAGGAAACTAGGAAGGACTAGTAGAATTAGAGTTAGAAATCAACCTAATCCAATGCTGGAGAGTATCAAATAAAATAATCAAATGGCTCTGTCAGCTATAAAAATAATTGCTAGAACAGGGGTCAGCAAATTATAACCTGCAGGTCAAATCCAACATTCAACCTATTTTTGACAATAAAGTTCATTACTTTCAACCAAGCCATTCATTTTCATATTGTTTGTGTCAACTTGGCCAAGTTGAATAGGTACCACAACCACTGTAATAGAACACAAACTCTAAAGTATTTATTATCTGGCTTTGTACAGAAAAAGTTCACCGTACTCTGATTTAGAGCATTACACTTCTGAGAAACATTTGCATTTGTACATTAAATACTTGCATTTATGGATCCAAATGATAATAGAGCAACAGTCTAATTTTTAAATCCTAGGGACCCAGACATAAATGTGGAAGAGAGATTAACACCTACTTACATCACGTAGACAACTACTTATTACACCTCATTCTAAGTGTTTTTGATGCCCAGGTTTATAGGTGCACATAGTTTGTGGCTTCTCACTTTGTACTTATTTTAGTTATCTGTTGCTACTTAAAACACCATCCTAAATGCAGTTTTATCATATAGTATTTTCAATATTTAGGTAGTTTATTGTCTACTCCAATAGAATGCAAGAGCTACCAGGGCGCTGGCTTTTCATTGCCCTGTCTGCAATATCTAGGACAGTGTATGGCAGAGATGCAGTGTCCAGAACACTTCTGGTGAACACATGAATGAGCAATGTGTCAATAGCATCTATGGGATATGCAAAAGGTCATGCTTCCTCCATATTTTGTTATAGGACAAAACTAAGCAAAGTACGATATCCTTAATTGAATGTGTTATGGCATGGAACTTTCCAACACAAGTAAACATCCCTTTTTAATATAAATGGCCTGTTTCTATATCTACATCACTAGACCAACATGCATATATCATCCTTGAGTTAATTACTAGAAAGGACTTTTTAAAACAAAGCCAAACAGAACAACCTCTCTTTTTCTAAAACTCTATCGATAATATATTTTAATTATGGTGAATTAAGAAAAAAAAAACACGAATGTTTCATTCTCTCTCTTTCTGGATTCTTAGAGAAACTTCAAAGAAGACAAAATGTAGGCAGGAGGTCAGCACTCATGAATCAGATTTCATCTTGATAGGTTTTTTATAGACGTATAACAAAGTGGAGCCCAGAAAATTGTGTTAGGTAATGGGGATTCTGACAGACCCTTTAACTATGTGGAACTAGGGTAGGAGAAGCTTCTGCTATAATTCTGGTACTTCAGATGAAAATTTCAAGTGTTTTCATTAGGTACAACAGCTGTTTCTATTACCGATAACAGATCTCAGAGGTGGTGATGCTGATATCAACTTCTAGTGAGCTCAGAACACAGTGTAACTTGTACAATTAGGTTTTTTTAATTATTTTTTTTCTGCACATGCAAATTAACTCTGTAGCAGTAAAAGGAAATTACTTACTTGCTACCGGAATTGTCTGAAACTGATAAGATCATCCTTTGTAGAGTAACATTAACCAGATTAAAAGCCCTTGGGAAAAATTTGGCACCCTGTTCCTTCCCATTCACATCTTCCTAAAGACCTCTCAGTAGCTTCCATTTAGAAAGCTATGATCATTACCAGGGCTTTTAATTTGGAAATATTGGCTGCTCACCAGTGAGTCTTTCTAGACACCCAGTGCTTAGGTGCAGTGGCTCTACTGCGTTAAAATCTTGGAGGCCTGGAAGCCTTGATTTTACCATCCTCTTGCCTCATGCTTGTTTGAAGGTACATTATTCAACCTGACCTGAGACAGAGTCACGGTTCTGCTAGTTACTTTACTCCCAAGATGGTCACCATCATTTTGCCCTCTTACTGGATGCACATATTACACATTTGTTGATGGTGGAATCTATTCCTCCAGCTCATTGAATCAAGGCTGACTTCTTTGGTCAATAAGATATGGTGGAAATTATGTACCACTCAGAGATTAGCCTTTAAAAGGCCTGATAGTTTCTACTTTCCTTTTCTTGAAAAAGTTCCTCTTAGATCAGATGTACTTGAAGCCTGGTTCATATGGACAGAGAACATTTAGGCAGTGTAGTCAACAGTCTCAGCTGACTAGTTTCAATGGTCAGCCATGCGAAGCAGTCATCTTGAGGTCCAGCCATTTTAGCCTTTGATGAATCCAGT